CTTAAGGTGATCCCAGGTTCCCAAATGAACAACAATGGGTCTTGAAATCAGTGGCTGTACATGCAGATAGACAGATCCATAGAATGGCAATACACGCGCACAAAAAGGAGAAAGGGGAGGTTACAGAAATCGGAGGGAATCATAATTTCTAATGGCCTAAGAGAACTTTACCTCCTCGACTATATTTCATTCCTATTGAACCAACCGACTACCCGCGTCTACAGTTCCTGTCAAATGTGGTAGACATTATGGGCCCTTTAAGGTTCCCATCTTCCTGTACCGATGCAGGTTCTGAGCACTCAGGAATTTAAAGCGCTTTCGGTAACACCTTTAAAAGACTTTTACCAACTTGGGGGCTTGTTTGACCCAAAGAGTTGAGACGAACGCATAATGCGGAGGGGAGTGTGCTAGCTCCATATGAGATGGAAACAACGCCCGCCTAGCTCAATCGGATAGAGCGTCAGACTCTTAAAATGGGCAGGGCATCTGAAGGCTGCGAGTTCGACCCTCGCGGTGGGCTATGCAACCTATCGCTTCAATTTTTTCCACAGGCAACGGGGCAGTTGCACGAATACACCTGCCCCGTGACTATTCCTTACACCGCCCGCCTAGCTCAATTGGCTAGAGCGTCAGACTTTTAGGGAAGGGCATCTGAAGGCTGCGAGTTCGACCCTCGCGGTGGGCTACCTGACCATTTTTTCTGGTGTTGGGTTTTATATATTTGGCTAGGTTGTTTGACGCAAACAACGGATTAACCAGACGTGGCAGTCACGTCACTGGGGCAGTCGCGAGCAACCATGTCGCATTCCCATTCACATGCGCCAGGCGAAGAGCACTCGCATTCGCACTCTAATGAAGCTCCACAAAGCCCCCAAGGCCCCGCTATGCCCACACCAGACCCAGCTCTACAGGCCCTCATCGAGGCCGACTCCAAGCCTGTTCCCATATCCCTTTCCGACGATCTCCACACCGCCCGCTGCCGCGAACATCGTCTCGAAAAATGTGAACCCTGCGATGTAGACTTTGTCAACCTCAACCGCCTCTCCACCATCCTCGCGAACAACCCCAACCTCCTCTGTCCTCCACCGGCTAATGTCATCACACAAAAGCTAACACAGATGGTCACAGCGACGAAGGATGAAGGAAACGTGCGTTTCTATTTTTACTTGATGAAATCATTACTTACGATCTTACGTTGCACGATGTAGTCGTTGTTCAAAAGCGGACTACACACCGCCGCTGTGAATCGATACAGCGGCGCCGCAAACTTCGCGACCAACCGACCGCCCTGGGAGAACAACCAGATCATGCGCGAGGAGCTCTCCACTATCATATCCAACCGCTCCGCTGCCTTCAACGAAGCCCGTGACTACATCTCTGCCCTCGCTGACGCTGACGCGGTCATTGCGATACGGAGACAGTGGAGCAAGGGGCACTTCAGGAAGGCGAAAGCACTCGTTGGACTCCACAGGTTCCGCGATGCGGCACATGCTTTGAAGCTCGGCCTCTCCTACGAACCGACGAACACGGTGAGTATCTCCTTGCGCGATGCTGGACACGTCGTTGATGATTATTTTTTCGTGCAGGAACTCTTGGCATATCTCGTGGATATCGAAAAATTGAAAAAGGTGGCGGAGCAGGAGGCGGCGGCGGCGAAAGTTGAGCAGTAGTTTGCCGGCGACGCGTTTCTGTGTACAGTATTATCTTTATTTGGACAGGCATTCATTCAAGTGTAATTCGGCCATGATATCAGTTTTACAGGCCTTATTCAATCCCAAATGGCTGTGTAACTTGTGGCATAGCTGTCGTAACGGGGGCTTTTGCTATCGTCACCTCAGAAAGCTC